CCTCAGATACTCTCTTCTCCATTAAGATAGACTTAAACTCTCTCACTAAAAAAAAAAAAAATACATCTCTGACTCTTGTGAAAGACTGCATATTGTACTTCTATATTTTTTGAAAATGTAGTTTTAATTTTCAAGCCAGTCTGTAAGCTCCTTTAGAACAGAGATGGTATATCACTGTCTTTTCCTAGCACGGCACCATGAACCCAAGTACCCAGTGAGTACTGAATGAATATGAACGAGTAAAGGTGTGAGTGAAAATATGACGTGAAACAACATGCTTCTTGCTGAGCAGTTACATTTAGTTGGGAACCTCTGATTTGTAGCCAAGTCAGACAAAAACTATGGGTGACCTACTTCTTTTGATTGGCATCTGAAGTGGGGGGTGTCTGGGGGAAGTCCCGTGGGACTGAGCCTTTAACCTGTGGGGTCTGATGCAGTCTCCAGGCAGATAGTGTCAGAACTGAGCTAAACTGCAGGACACCTAGCCAGTGTCCCAGAGAATCGCTTGGTGGGGGAAAAATCCCCTACATCTGGTGTCAGCAGTGAGGTGTTCTGTATGAGCAGTAAAGGAAACACAGGAGAAAAGGCTGGGCTGTTCTAACAAAGTTATGTGAAGATTTCTTAAATATAACACCAAAAGCCGGATGCATAAAGGAAAAGTGGGAAAATTGGACTTCATTAAAAAATTTTAAAGGTTCTCTTTTTGAAAGACATTGTTTTAAAAAAAAGAAAAGAAAAGACCAGGCACAGACTGTTAGAAAATCCATGCAAACCATACTCAGCAATAGTGACAAAATGATGACATTTCTCCTCAGAAACAAAGCTAGGCTAGGCAGAAGATAATGAAACAGCAATTTTAAAGTGCTAGGGGGAAAAACAGGCAAACAGACAATGCTGTTATCCTAGAATTCTATATCCACCAAAGAAACCTTCAAAAACAAAGGGAAAATGAAGACGTTTCACATAAATGAAGCAAACGTGTCACCAATAGACCTGAATTATAAACACACACGAAACAAGCTTCTCGAGGCTCAAGAGAGATGATACCTGTGGAAAATCAGGAGCTGGAAATAGTACAGAAGATAACGTGTTAATATCTCTTCATGAAATCCAACTTCTGAGAGCTGCAAGCAAAACTCTGACTTTATACTCCAAGCCTCAGGAATTGCAAGTGCCTGTACGGGTAAGCAACTCCTCCGAAAGTTCTGTTAATGACACACGTCGGTGAAACACATCTCATCAAAGTTTTCCCCTTCCCATTTAGTATCAGAGAAAGAGTAAGGTTTTGATTATTTCTCCTTAAGTTGCTCTTTGGGAAGACACCAGCATCTTCTTCCCAGAAAATGGATCAAATCTATCCAGCTCTCACTGTTTTTTTTCCTACATAGATTGAATTGTGGCTTATTTGATTTACAAAATTTTTAAAGAAAAAAAAAGGGCACATAGACCGTAGCTACACAACTAGTTTTTAAAGGATTGGAGGCAAACAGCCTCAGAATAAGCCTGAACATTCTTTTGAGGATGCATTCCCAAGGAAAATTTTTTTAAAATAAATAATTGTATATGTATTGGGTTAGTGCAAAAGCTGATTGTCTTTTCAGACACCCTTCTTGATGTGGTTGGAAATTGGAACAAGTTTGGAAAGCAATTTGACATTTTATAGTTTGGATATTTCCTCCTTTGCTTTCTACTTTCAGAAATGGAACACTTCATGATAGAGCAGCCTGAGGCATGAAATTGAACCGGGGATAAATATTATAAACTACAGGTAGCCTGAACCCTTCATTTGTTTTGTGCATGTCCTTCCCTTGCTATGCTACCCAATTTCCTCGGAAAGTTATAGAAGGGCACAATTAAGAAAATGTTTTACAATATTTCTGAATGTACCAATGAGACATATATTTTGTATCTCCACTACTGTACTTTGATTTTGGGTTGAACCTGGTAAGTTACATTGGGCGGGGTGGTGTTTCTGTTTTGTTTTGATACAAAATTACTTCTTTCCAAAAGGGCGCGGCAGGAGATGAAAGACAAGGATATCCTATTAACATAGTATTACTACATTAAAATGATCATCGGAAGAAATGTCTCAAGTGCTTGTGGGAAGTGGAAATTGCACCCTGCACTGCCGAGGCTTCTGCCGCCAGAAGGCTTCACTTACTTACTGTCCCATTCAAGCACCAAACAAGACGCGTGGACAACGTTCAACTTTCGCAAGGGGAAAGGAAAGTTTAGTGATTGAACGGGCCAGCGACTTGTCCAGTTTTTGTTACTGCAACCAAAATGTACTGCAGATGTGTCTTTTTATGTTAGCAAGGCCTTTCTTTCTAGTGTTTGAGCAGATTGAACCGGGCTGTGGAGCTCTTTCAAGGATTTCTCTTTGTCAAGTCTCGCGGTGGCTTCCTCGAGAGGAGGAGGGCTGGGTTCGCATTCTCTTAGGACCTCCGCGTGTGGCTGCCCCTCCCGGGACCAACCCAAACCATCATTCCCCATTTTCTCACAACTTCCCCTACCTAGGTTTTTTTTTGTGTGTTTTTTTTTTAAAGAAGGTAATGGAATTTGGTAGTCATTCATTAAAAACCACTTCATGAATTGAGATCTTAGCAGTTATTCAAACTCGTTGCATTGAGCTCTTGATTGCATTGCATTTTAAAATTACTTGGGTAACAGGGAGGGGAAGGGGAAATTGGGAGTCACTAATCAAGGGGCATACGTTTCAGTGATGCCAGGTGAGTAGGCAGTGTACCACACCGCCTCAAGTTCCTAATACTATATTCTGCACTTAAAATGTGGTCAGGTGGGCAGACTTTATGTTAAATGTTCTTACCACAATGAAACCATTTAAAAAAAATTCCTTGGATAACACGAAAGTAACAGCATCATAATAACAGCTACCTTTCTGCTTCCTACTTTATTCCAGTAACTGAACCAACTCTACACACGTTTGCTCTATTTCTCCAATACCCCCTCTCCCCCCCATCCCCACCCCCCGCCCCCATTTAAAGAGGATTAAACAGAGTCTTAGAGAATTTAAGCAACTGGCCTAACTGGGTACAAAGTACAAAGCCCGGACTGGCCCCTCAGTCTGTCTGGTTCCAAAACCTATGCTGACGCTGAAATTTAATGCAGAAACTCAGATCACCTTGATATATCTCTACTCTTTTTAGACGCTAACAGCCTGTTTAGATTAGGACAAAGTATCAAATGTCCCAAGAGAGAATTTCCATTTTATCCATGAAAAATCAAAGGATTTTTTTTAACTTAGGGTATTTCCCGCCTTCAATGCATTTGATTCTGATTGCTCCTTCATGCTGTCTCCACTTTGTATAAATAGACCCATTCGGCTCTGCAATGAAATCTTATTAATTCAGACCCGTCTCATTTGGAATTTGTGATAATATGACTAAGACACAACGGGCTTAACATGAACTCTTCTGTTATCTATCAAGAAGGAATTTTTAAAGAAGGTGAATGCTATTAAAATGATTTCCTGGAGTTTAATCAACTTAAGAAAATACAGCAATTCTCAAGGACTCAGCAGCTACAATTTGCATATAAATTATTAGCTTTCAAACATCTCTTATGAAGTGATTAAAACCGCCCCAAAACTTGGTAGCACTCAAATGTTAGTTCAAGTTACACAATATAGTTGCAAGAATTTACAAAAATAAAAATTAAAGCACCTCTCTACAATCATGCAAGCTATTTATTTATGTAATTATTTTCAATCAGTGAGCGTTTTACAAATTCCCTTGTTTTATACACTCTGTTTTAAGTCATGTCTTTGGGGTCAGCCTGCAGCCCTTGAAGGAGCGATACATTTTACGGCTGATATGGTTTGTTCTCACGTGTTTTAACCGGAGCTTTGTACCGAGAGTCAAGGATTCTGATCTGGGCTCTCTGTCTTTGATACAGTTAGAATTTCGGCAAATTATTTTGTTGCTGAACCTATTTCCAATGAAGTAGATAAAATATCCAACTTCCATGCAATGGTAAAAAATAAACAACATAAAGCAAACGGAAGCCGTGATGTTGTGCCTGGCACATGGAAACAGCATGGTAAATGCGAGTTTCCGTCTTCATCCTTCCCTTGCACACAATTGCCCGCTCTGGGCTTCCAGGTTCAGTAAACCAGGTTGAAAAGTGACTCACGAGTACCAATGGCTGCACCCCTCCCCCCTCCTTGATTCCTGGGTCAGTTGTCAAAACACTCAGAAGGGTCTCAGAGTTTTAGACGAAAACCAAATCATACGCTCTAGGACTGAAATAGAACAACTAAAAACGAAATATGGAAAGCACCGAGGGGTGCCTGGAAAAGCCGTTCGCTCCACTGGTCTGAAGTTCAGGCTCCAGGTACCGCTGAAAACTGAGGAAGAGGAAGAGGAAGACGAAGCCACTTCAGGAAAGAATGATTTCATTTGCTACCTGGGCCCTGGGGCTGGGACAGAAGCTGTATCTCTCCTCCCGCTGCAGGGCTGAGGGCCGGGTCACCATGTCACCAGCCAGTCACACTCATACCCTGCCCATCGGCAGACCCCGGACCACGCAGCAATCTTCTCAAACAGATACTTCCAGAATCTGGCAAGGTTCTCAATGCCATTGTTCTCGGATTGCGTTTCACAGTCACCAGACTCACGGAGAAGCTTATGAATAAAGATATAAACTTACAATGTTACCTGTGCTTTGCATTCTGGGATGCACCGACCATAAGATACACTGGGATGAGATGAAAAGAGCATCTTTTCAGGTCAATTCGAAGGTGTAGGAAATTTGCCACTGATGCTAACACTACTTCTTCCCAGCAGTCGTGGCCAGGAGGAAAGAGAAAAGGGGAGCACAGCAGAAATCATGTGTGTATAGGGCTTCAGTCACATTGAACCTTGCAGTCGATGTAGTGACACTGCAGCGGGAACATCGTCATCCTCATCTTCCTCATTGTCATCACTGTCATCCTCGATCTATAGATAAGACAGTGCCGTGAGGGACAATGAATGACTTACCTACAGCCCACATGTGAGCCATGGATCTTTTCTATACACGACACTGTACAAACACCCCTGGTTTAAAGACGGCGACTTGGCGTTTGCACCCACTTCTGCCACTTCTCTCTCTCAACATCAATCTTTTTTCTGAAAAATAAGAGGGTTGAGTGAGATACTAAATGTACAAGATATAGAACTGTGTCTGATGCAAACGGGATACCCTGATAAATATCCTTTCCGCTCACGCTTACTCTCCCTAGCTGTCTAGTCGCTTCTAGCTGACAGAAGAATCAGGAAAGAAATAAAACTTGACAGCCCACGATAGTATGGCTGCCAGCTCTGGAAGCTCGGAGGGCCATTCTTCCTCTTTAAAACACTCAAGGAAAGAAAGAAAGGAGGCTGTGTAAACAGCTCTGATTTTCCTGTCTCTTGCTGCACTTCTGAGCTTCACCACTACAATCAAGCCTGCCAGCCAGTGCAGTCTGCGACTGCTTTCTGATCTCCAGTCCAGTACAAACACAGGAACCAAATCATATTTCCAACCAATCAATCCAGGTCCTCTGAAAAGGAAAAGCATTTTCCTGGACTGACAGATGAACCTGAATTAGAAGAGAATGCTTTACACTCACAGGTGGGCCAAGGAATTCACAAGCCACAAGACGGGGGCAAGCGCGCCTCCCCCCCCCCCCCCCCAGGATAACCTTGACCTTGTTTCTGAAGGCTTGAAAGCAAAGAGATGGTACAAGGCTTTTAAAGAGCAATCCTCAGGTGTCTTTCATAAAGGGCTGAGTACCTACAGACACCCTTAAATAGAAACATCAGGAGCTCAAGAAACATAATTCATCATATCCATTTTTATCTGTAAAAAGCCTTTTCTGGAGGTCTGCCATAAAATCAACATATTCACATCACTTGGGATCTATTAATCTGACAAAATATCAGCAGTACAGAATGATCTGGGGAAGGTATTTGGCAGGAAGTAGAAATATCTCCAGACTAATGTGTGGGGTTGGGGTGAGCGGGGAGGTTCTCTTGGAATCTTTATTAGCTCAAATATCTGGCACATATAGAAATTTCCAATTTGGCCATTGACAGAGGAACAAAATTAGTAGGATCTTTAGTACCAAAAGGTCATGCTGCTTAGGTTTTTTTTTTTTTTGTAAAAACCAAAATGTTACATAATAATTGCAGTAAAATCAGTAAGGATAAATACTCAAAGAAATTAAACAAAATAACCTGTAATTCCATTAACCTAGGGACGACAACTATTAACATTTTGGTGTTTATCCTTCCTGCATAAATATCAAGATTTTGTTATTTTCTTTTACAGAAATGGAACCGTAATATGTGTACTCTTTTTAAACACAAGCTGCCTAAGACCACTGTAGAAAACAGAGAATTCAAATAAACAAAAAGTTTTAAATCGTCTGGTTTTCCAGTACTTGGTATCTACATCCCCTGACATTTTTTATGTACTTTATACATTGAATAGAAATTTTTATCAATGACATTATTGTATAGGAGGCATTCTGTTACCTGATTTCTTCATTAGCCTGAACATTTTTCACGTTAAAAAATGTGGGTGTGTTTCTTTATTTGTTTGTCTTGTTCCTTTGCTGTTTTTAGTTTTATATCCCACATATCAGTGAAATCATATGGTGATGGAAGGAGAACTGTCTCTGGGTGATGAACACACAATGTGATGTATTACAGACTTGTACACCTGAAACCTATGTAACTTTACTAACCATTGTCACCCCAATAAACTTAAATTATTTTTTAAAAGGGGGGAAAAGTTATATGCAAATTCCAAAGAGAAGGAGAAAAACGACTTTTGTCAGTATCTTGTTTAGTTGCTCTGAGTTTTATTTTTCTGATACATAAAATAAATAATTTGAAGTTTAAAAATATATATATGCGTATGTATCATTATTGTCAATGGTCTTCTAGTCTATCCTGAATATTCTTTGTGTTTCTGAAAAAGACATTTCTGAGTCAGAAGGTATGCGGTTTAGCCCCTCCGTAACACTGTGGGGTGGTGCCCATTTCCTCCTAAACTGTCCTGTGTTGGACAGTATTGTTCATTTTTATCATTGTCAGTTTCATAGAAGAAAAATGCTATGTCTAGCATTTGCTAAATCAAATTTACCCTGAAAGGTATCTGTGCTTATATGTTTAACACATACTTTTATTGCCATTACTGTGTGCCAAGCACTGTTATAAGTACATAATAACTATGCATTAATTTAATTCTCTTAAGAACCCTAGAAGATGGGTGCTATTATTATCGACCCCTTTTCACAGACAGTGAAACTGGCATGAAGAGATGAACTGACTTAGCCAGGAGCAAGGGGGCTGAAATCCAGACCAGGCCGCTGGGCCCTGGCATCACTTCCACATTTCTGCATGTGGATTTCTGCCCCACGCCCGTTCCAGCAAGCAACATCTCACAAATCGGTTTCTCTTAGTTGCCAGCAAAGGGCTTCTTTTCCATTACTCCCCAGTAGACTCTCCCTTATATGATAACAGTGTCCCGTGGCTGCAAGGGGGGTTGGGGTAATAAGCAAGGGGCAAAAAGCATGAGGATTACTGTGACTGGCTCACAACGAGATGACTCGTCCCCAGGGACTCGGCTCACTGCTACTCAGGAAAATTCAGGGTTCTGTTTGCAAACCAGGAGTGGAGGTGGTAATGGCGGCGGCTGAGTAACCAGCTAAAGGTGTCTGCCTGCCCAGCATCATGTGCTTAGTGCCAGCAGCTGCAGGGGTCTGTCTTCTGAAACCTGGACGGCGGTGCCAACCGTAAATAGGAGTCTCTATGCAGAGAAAAGAAGTTTCTAGTTCAAGAGAAACAGATTGGAGTTCCAGTTCCCGTGACAGCAGCCATGAATATGGAACTTGCCGTTTGGTATAAGCCAGTTCCCCTCTGTGAGAGCAAACATCCCCAAGTGAGGGAATGGGACTGTCACCGCATGCGAAGAACCTGAGAAAGGGCGGGGCAACAGGCGGTCACACCAGTCGCACACAGTATGAGTATCACAAATGGGCCACCAAACCCACTGTAACGGCCACATACCCTAAGTGGTAAGCGAGGCTACCACACAGCCAAGAATCAGAATCTATGTCGACAGCTCAAGGATGATCATCAAAAGCCTAAACTTGGCTGAAAGGAAAAGGAAGAGACATGTCTCAAGTTCAGAAATCTGAACTGGCTGAGAGTTGGAATGCACAAGGCACAGGTCAAGGTTTCGAGTCCTTGTTGGACAGGAAGATGGAAGGGGAAGAGAATTCAGAGCAGGGACAGCATCTCAAGTTCAAAAACAAGTGCATGGACATGGTCATGGAGAAAAGGAGCCATGTGCCTCCTACCCTAGACTGCCCATGCCTGTGTAGCCTTGCCAGGGCTCCTGTCCAAAGCAAGGCAGGGCTCTGAGGACAGGCTCCTCTCTGCGAGGTGTCATGGTTCAGACTCAATGGCCAGTGCACATATTTACTTGCTGAGGCTTCTGTGGGTTAAAAAGCTGGGTGACTTATTCAGATGACTCAGCGTTTTCAAAGCTGTGAGCTGGAAATCACTCCAGTGCACTTCTCCTTTGCACCCTCGCCAGCTCAGTCTTATATAAAACCTTATCGCACTAGCTTATTTTGTTAACACGAGTTGCAACTCAATGTTCAAAGCCCCGAGAAGTTTTCTTCATCCTTAACGAGTATGAAATTAGAGCTGAACAGATGAACCGAGTGAAATGCCTCTTTCTCCAGCCACAGGTTGTTAAAGCTATGGCAGGATCTCTGTCCCTGAGTCAGGGACTCAAGGAAGACCTCAAAGGGACACTCACATAAACACACACGCACACGTACATGCACACACATGAATGCCCATATGTAGATGCATGCATTACATACATGCAGAGGTGCACACGTACACACATGTACACACACACACACACAGAGGTACATTTGCTAATTTAAGCCAGCAGGGAAGCTCAACTTCTGAGTATCACCTACCCTTCCATACTTCACTTGTAACCTTTAAAGGACCAGAATATGTTTCTTATTGGAAAAATGTAAAAAAAAATAAATCCATAGAAATGTCCCCTATGATTGAAAACAGAAGCTAGCCATTAAGACATTCTCATTGGAAAGAAAAAAAAAAACTAATGGAAAGTCAAATGAAATGGAACACCACCAATGTATTTTATCAACGGCATGTCAAGAAACCACACCCAACACATTTTATCAAAGGAATGACAGACACGCCGGACTGTTAATTACCTACAGGTTTCTCTTCTAAATTTACATCCATCCCAGGACAAAGGCTGAACCAGGAATACGCTGGCTGTGGTGAGACTGTCGGGAGGAAGGTGGGCTTGCCAGTGACTCAGAAACCCACCGACCTCCATCTCTTCATCTCTAAAACATGACTAATCAGCTGGGCCAACAAACAGCCTACATGGAGTGGTTGGTATCTTACTGGCAAGTTACATTCCTACAATCAAAACAGCCTGATATTAGCCCTAAACTTGGGTTATTTTTGTTGCATTGTTGCCAGTTTAAAAAAAAAAAAAAGATCAGGGAAAAAAAGAAGTCATGAAAATCCAGGTTAATCTCATGGTAGCTACACACAGCTTATTTTTTACTTTATTCTATCTCTAGTTAGAGACTTGAACTTAGCTTCAGAAAATCCTACAAGACATATTCATAAAATCATTCATTCATTTTCTCTCTCTCTCTCCTGAATACCCAGAGCTATGCAGAATTTAATATTCAAGATAAAATGGCAATAGCATTTTGAGGAAATTTATTTTTCATTGATAATGATAAGGGGATACTTCTCATGGCGTGAACAAAACTGTAACCTTTGCCAAGAAGAGCTGGCTGTGAATTTGGGAAAAAGAGTGGCTGAAAAACTGACAGAAGAGAAGTGTTCATTTTTGTAGGTGAGTGTGTGGGGGGCACAGGAAGGGGGCAGGGAGAAAGTGAGATCAATTTTTTTCTCGCTCATGGGGGATCTATCTTCAGTCTGCCTTGAAATAAGAGAGACTAACAGAAGATGCTTAGCCCAGGGGAGACTGAGTCCTGCTCTGCCAACATCGCTTTAT